GTTACACTTATATTTTTTTTTTACAAGAATAAAGAGTATGAATGTGAGTATTCCATAAAACTCTCCCCCCAAGCTAATCAAAGCACTGTCCCTAGTGCTTGTGTCTGAGATGAATGTTTTTTTTGGGTTACTTTTTGGGAAGTTTTGTTGGTGATTCGTGGGTGTGGAGATGAAAAGGGTGAAGAGGTGATGAGTGAAATGGGTTTAATTGGTGGATGGATGTAGGAGATATGAAGCTTTTGACTTTTGGAAATGGAGGAAATTTGGGGTGTGGTTCGAATGGGACGAAAAGAAAATGGGGAAGAGGTGAGCCCGACCTGGTGAGATATTTTACCCGTTCGCCCGGTCGGGTGAGGTATTTTACCCGGTCGAGCGTAAGCTGTTCATCGGAGCTAGAGGCTTTTTGTTGGATTGCCCGGCCGGGTATTGGGGTCTACCTGGTCGGGTGAAAACTGTTCACCCGAAGCAGAATGTGTTTGCTGGGTTGCCCGACCGGGTATGGGGGTCTACCCGGTCGGGTGTTTGATTTATTCTTGTTCCGCTCTTGCCTCGCCCGGGTGGTTGGCCGGGTGTTTTGTTTTTAGAGGTAACCCGACCGGGTGGGGTTTTATACCTGGCCGGGTTCAATCCCAGGTCATTTTTTTGTTGAAATGTGTAAAAATAAAAAAACAAAAAAAAAGTAAACGTACCTTGCTTGGGTTGTCTCCCAAGAAGCGCCTTAGTTAACGTCGCGGCACGACGCCATGATTGTGTTCAATCGTTCAACCTTGGATCGTGATAACTGATCTTCTTCAAATTTTCACCCGGGTGACTCTTATAGAAAGACTCAGTTTTTCGACCCTTTATTTTGACCTTTCCGGGATCAAATATCCAGATTTCTATCGCTTCATATTGTGAGAGTGTTGGTCCATGATTTTCATTAAGCATGGTCAATGGAAGGGGTTTTGGTCCGAGTGGTATAAGAGAGAGTATGAAATATTTGTGTAATCCCACCGTTACTCCTTGCTTATTTGTGAACAAAGAGAAGTCTAAATTATACTCACAATTGCTGAAGATTTCATAGATATCTTTGTCCTTCTCCACCCTTTGTGTTTCCCTTAGAGCCTCAGGAAATGGTGGCATGATCTCACGAATGGCCGGTGTTTGAGTTGAGTTTTCAGGTTCCTCCTCCGGTTGAGCTTTCTTCGTAAGCTCCTCTTCTTCCTCCTCCTCGCCCATGTGGTTCACAATGCTTGGCATTTGTTTCAACTGATTGTCCAAGTTCTGTTCGTTGGACATTGCTTCTTGCGAGCATTGTGACATATTTTGTTGCATATTTGTCACATTGATAGTGAGAGCTCGGATCATGTCTTCAGTGGACATGCTGGAATAAGAACATGAGTATGTGCTATATGTGTTGGAGAATGAATCATACCTCTCTTGGAAACCAACACCATTCCTTTGTTCAAAGAATTCTTCTCGAAGCTCTGGGCAAAAATCCGTAAGATGCCTTTGTGACATGCAAATGTTGCATGTATGGACATCTTGAGATTTTGAACATGAGATAAACTCCTTTATTAGAGAAGTCAAGTCGGAAATTTGACTCTCTAGGGATGATGTGTTGGTATCCATTTACTCATGCAAGCTCAGAAAATAGAAAAGTAAAATTTTTCTTTATATATATATATATATATTTTTTTTTTTATTTTTTTATTTTTTTATTTTTATGAGATAAAATAAAAAGAAAAATAATTGCCTTTCCCCGGAAACGGTGCCAAATTTGACAAGCACTTTGTCACGGTGAGTCAAAATAAATACAATACTAGTGCTAATACGTAGTATAGCGTAGTAGAGTTCGTATCCACAGGGAAAAGAATAATTCTCTTTTTATGATACTTAGTAAATAAAAGGGGGGATTTGGATTGAGTGATTTAATTTAATTAAGAACTAAGATGAACAACCTATATGTGTTAATTCAGAGATAAAAAGGACTTGGCATTGCTACTTTCCACTTGTTGATATATTTTAGTCGATCATTGTTATATCTATAACTTATTCCCTCTCGAATACTCAATCGGGGAGTATATCCACTTCATCGAGGGTAGTTATTAACAACAACCGTTCATTAATAACTCTTACTATTAATCAAATATAGAATAACGCCTTATACCGAATTAATAGTAGCATTCAATCTTTCTAACTCCTTGATGAAATCAATTGAGATTGAAAACCTCAACACAACGGTTTCGTTTTAACAAACAAAATTAATCCCTCTAAAGTTTATTAACCATGACCGTGCATTAATAAACCGAAGTTACTTACTTGTGAAACCATCAACGATTAACCATCAGTTCGTTGATCGTTTCTAGTAATAATTAATATATGAAACAAAACTAGTTGATCCTTTAAGTAATGTGCAAAATATTAATATAAAATATGAATAGGAATTAATTAATATTCAAGGAAGAATATTATTAAAGAAGATGAATCCTGCTATAATTAATATCAAGATGTTAACTAATTGTCATCTTAGCAACACTCCCCAACATTAATATAGAGGAAGAAAATACCATTCTAACTAATGTCGAGATGTTAACTAATTGTCATCTTAGCAACACTCCCCAACATTAATATAGAGGAAGAAAATACCATTCTAACTAATGTCGAGATGTTAACTAATTGTCATCTTAGCAACACTCCCCAACATTATTATAGAGATGGTATTAAGGAAAGAACTATTAATTAATATTCAAGGAAAGAAGTTAAGAAAATAACTCACAACTTTAATAATCAACAAGCTTCAAGAGCAACACCATGAATGGAAGTTTAGTTCCTCATTTGGAAACTAAACATGATATAAAAATATAATAAATGCTATTCTAAACTGAGCTTAGGAGTATAGAAGAAGAGATTGTTTTTAGAGAAGAAAAAGTGTGCTATTTATAGGTGTTTTTCAACACCTTTGGCCGGGTACCCGACCGGGTCAAGTACTTACCCGACCGAGTCTGGTCAAAATCAGATAATCCGCCACGTTCTGGTGATATTCGCACGTCGTTTTGTCCCGGGTCACATCTGACCCGACCGGGTCAAGTAGGAGACCCGACCGGGTCCAGTGACTTTCTTGGCAATTTCGTCTGTTAAATCCTACCCGACCAGGTGGGGGTTTCTACCCGGTCGGGTTTCACTCCTGTGCAGTCAAATTTCTTGTTTTCTTCTCTTCAAAGTCTTCCTTTCCAACACCACAAATCCTAAATAAACTTTACAACTTATAAATAAAGAATAAAATACAATTACAACTGAAATTACATAAATGTTTACAAACTAAATAAAACGTCAAACAATCAACATAAATCAAACATAAAAACATATAATTATGCATTACTAATTAGTGTGCATCAAACACCGCCACACTTAAACCTTTACTCGTCTCGAGTAAATCAAATCCGGTCCAAGAAGTCCTTAAAATGACAAGAATATCAACACACACATCCACGAGTGTTTTTAGAAACACATAAAGTATATCCCCAAAAATATAACAGTAAAGAGGGTCTTCAACTCCATATTTCTTTATCAACCTCAACCTTTTTTTTCGTTACCCTTAGGATCCTGCAGAAATAAAAGAAAATACTTTCTCTCGTTCTCTCATTTTGCCTAGGTGCCCTTTCGGGTTTTCATCCCAGCTTCCCACATTTTTCTGTTTTAATCCTCACAACTCACTCTTATTTTTGCTTTATTTTTGCTTAAGTTGCCCTTTCGTGTTTTCAACTGAACAAGCTTTTATATTTTTTTTTTACAAGAATAAAGAGTATGAATGTGAGTATTCCATAAAACTCTCCCCCCAAGCTAATCAAAGCATTGTCCCTAGTGCTTGTGTCTGAGATGAATGTTTTTTTTGGGTTACTTTTTGGGAGGTTTTGTTGGCGATTCGTGGGTGTGGAGATGAAAAGGGTGAAGAGGTGATGAATGAAATGGGTTTAATTGGTGGATGGATGTAGGAGATATGAAGCTTTTGACTTTTGGAAATGGAGGAAATTTGGGGTGTGGTTCGAATGGGAAGAAAAGAAAATGGGGAAGAGGTGAGCCCGACCTGGTGAGGTATTTTACCCGTTCGCCCGGTCGGGTGAGGTATTTTACCCGGTCGGGCGTAAGCTCTTCACCGGAGCCAGAGGCTTTTTGTTGGATAGCCTGGCCGGGTATGGGGGTCTACCCGGTCGGGTGTAAACTGTTCACCCGAGGCAGAAAGTGTTTCTGGGTTGCCCGACCGGGTATGGGGGTCTACCCGGTCGGGTGTTTGATTTATTCTTGTTCCGCTCTTGCCTCGCCCGGGTGGTTGGCCGGGAGTTTTGTTTTTAGAGATAACCCGACCGGGTGGGGTTTTATACCTGGCCGGGTTCAATCTCAGGTCATTTTTTTTAAATGTGTAAAAATAAAAAAATAAAAAAACAAGTAAACGTACCTTGCTTGGGTTGCCTCCCAAGAAGCGTCTTAGTTAACGTCGTGGCACGACGTCATGGTTGTGTTCAATATTTCAAGCTTGGATCGTGATAACTCATCTTCTTCAAATTTTCACCCGGGTGACTCTTATAGAAAGACTCAGTTTTTCGACCCTTTATTTTGACCTTTCCGGGATCAAATATCCAGATTTCTATCGCTTCATATTGTGAGAGTGTTGGTCCACTAGTGTAGAAAACACTTTTTATATGGGTTAAAAAGCACTTTTTATGTCGGTTCTCGTAACGACATAGTAGCCAGCGACATAGAAAGTCGGGCTCTTTTCGTATCGGGTAGTCGTACCCCATATAGAATGGTTTTTATAACGGTTACGAATTTAACCGTTATTGAATGTTTTCAATGTCAGTCCAGTAATGTCTCATATAAAATACTTTTTATATGGGTGAAACCATTAACCGTTATAGAAAGTCGATTTTTTTTATAAAAAAATAATCGCATTTAATGCCACTTATATATATATATATATAAGTGATTTTATATTTTAAAACGTTGATTTTAAATTATATCAATCACATACTATTAATCATACTTACTGAAATTACAATATTTCCACCTACATAGTATTGTATTATATCAACAATATTTAACCAAAATTACATACGATTTTAAGACATACTAGTAACATCCAATAAAATTACTATGAAATGCTTGTCACTGAAAAACAATGTCAAATCCTCTTGCATCTTGTTGATACCATATTGCATAAATATTGAATACCTGCAATATGAATAATCAAAGTAAGCATCCTTAAAATACATAAATGCAAGCATAAGGAAAATATATCAAAGTACTACAATTACAAATATAAACACAAACAAAAAGTTATCACTAACTAATACAGTACGTAGTATGAATCAACATAATAGCTGCAACTCAAAACCTTCTATTTACCATTGAAAATCCAAATCAATATGTATGTCATTGCACTAATATAAAAGATATCAATACCTGCATAACTCCTGCATAATAAATAAGTAGCAAATTCAGCTTTGTTAAATATTAAAACCAGAGGGACTGGTTTTATTTATCCTCTTAACAAAACCAGAGATTAACTCATTTTATTTATTAGCACCAAAATCAGATGCCACAACATTCAAGTAAAAACCCCACCATTATATACTTATAATAATACAATACAATACAAGCACTAATTGTTCAATTGTCTGATTGTCTAATGATTAAGATTTAAAAGTATCCATTTGGCTTGTAAGTTTTGGATAGAAATAACATGCTAAAGATAGATATTAACATGAAAAAAATGAATATATTGGTTCTGCATATCTTACCCAAGGGTATATAAGGTTTATTATCTAGGGAGAACTCACCTTTTTCATTTTTTTCTTTTTGTGATGAACATATTTAGCATTAATAAGAAAGTCCTCAATAAATGCTTTACATTCAATCTGTTCTCTAAAATTCTAAATTTAATACATGTTAAACTTATACTGCTGAATGTGTTTTACAATAGATTATACAAACTAATATTGGCGGTTTTACTTTTTTTAGTATTTCAAGCCAGTAAGAGTCTATTTCCTAAATAAATGAATTACGTTTTTAGTAGAGTTTCTCATTATTACTATAGTTCAAGACCTCTACCAACCAAAATCTCTATGCACACCTGGAGCCATCTCCTGCAGTGAAAAAATTATATGTTTGTAAATTACTTTGTTTCTGAAAAAATCTAAATAAAAGCATATAGACAATGATGATACCTTGATAGGAGCTGATTTTTCTTCTTCTCTCGTAATACCTTGAGTTCTGCCCAGCAAAACTGCACTTTCTAGACCAGCATGAATAGATGCATCAGACAACCTCCATCCTAAAATGCCAATCCAAAAAAAAAGATTTTTTTTTCAAGGTTAAGCCAAAGCTCCAAACATAAGTAATAACTTTCCTTGGCACTTTTCCAATTTCCCAAGTCGAAATATATCCTAAGAATATGTTTGGATGTTGCAGCATTCCAAGGAAATCAAATGTGACCTAGAATAAAAAATGTGACCTGAAATATGATTAATATGGTATAAAAAATTACATATGTTTAGATTCCTTATTCTATTACTATTTACTAATAGGAATAAATAAATAATATGACCTAGAACTTCAAACAAAGTAAAATATATGTTTATTGAGTATGAACTGATGTTTTATTTTTTCACATTTTTTATTTCCTTTCAAATTTCTCCAACATTTTCATTACTATTACCTGTTTTCTTTTCTAACACTCCCCGAGTTCCAAGCAGACCCTAACACTTATTTCCTTTCCAAATCATAATCCGGGATCCAAACATATCACAAACAAGAGGATTCAGATTGCAGCAAATGAAGTTATACAGCTGTTGTTGCATTCCTAAGCTGGTGGGACCCAAGCATGCGTAGCCTCACATTAAATAACGCTATTGACTGAGCAAAATTAACAAATCTTGTTTAGATAATTAAAAAGACCATTCTTGCAAGAAATATTAACGTTTAAATAAACCCTCACCAGCAAAAGGTCTCTATCAATCTGAAGCACAACGTCACGAACTTGGTATGATATGCCACATATTTGCTGGAAGCCTTTGAGAGAACTCTTATTTCCCCCATCAGAAGCCGAAACCACAGGTGAAGAAACACATTCTGCTTTATCACGGAGAATTCGCTCAATGTGTGGAAGGAATGAGCCACCTAGAACTAACTGAAGTAGTCAGAATTTAAAAACAGAACTAACGGTCAAACCAGTAATTGTACAAGTGTGAGAAAAACTGTGAAAATAAAAGGTTTATGCAAGGGAGAACCACCTAACTAGATGGCCACCTTTGATTATTCCAGATTTTGAAAGTGCAATACTTTCTAAAGAACCCCCTAAAGCGTCCAGGTGTTCCTCGCCAATTGTCGTTATGATTGATGCCGCAATATTAGAGGCGCTGATTACATTTGTAGCATCTCGTGCACCACCCAATCAAGCCTGCAAATCATTTATACCTATATTAGCATCACAATGTTCAACTCCAACTTCAATGAAAAGGACAAGGAGAGAAGCACAAAGGGAAATACAGTGAAACCTCCACAACTGCAATTTCTACATTCTCTTAAGAAAATAGGCTGAAAGCAATAGCGGTGAGAATCTGAGAATTCAATGCCAAACACGGTTTTAAATGTCATCAACATCAACACCAGCATCTTATAAATGGGCAAGACACCCTAATAATCAATATCATACCTCAAAATGACAAAGTCGTCTGTTTTCAAGTTCCACCGCTCTCTCAAGATCTCTCCTCACTCTTTGGAAGTGGTGATTCAATACCTCTGCAGATACTGGTTCGCCATGTCTTCCCAAGGTTATACGTTCCCTAATTGTTTTTATATGCGGACTGCCCAAAAATATTCCCATGTTCATTACCAGACCAATGACAAAAGTTTATTTGAGCTAACAAGATCTAAAAGCTTTTTAATCAAGTGTCAATTAAGATGGTAAAACAATTGAATACCTAGTATAGCAACCTACAAAGTAGCCTTCTTTGCTGATTACTCCCTCATCTCCAATGGCATGATTGATCATTGTTATAATAGACTGCGCATCAACAATACGAAAAAGGTTGATAGAAGTAAGCACCATATAGACTATTCAATCTGCCAATAGCATAACTGATGAATTCAGAAAACAAGTTGAACTTTTATAATTATATTATAGTGACTACCTAAGAGCACTGAGAGAAAAAACTGCTGATTTGTTGAAGTCTTCTTCTGTTAAACTGGACAACAGCGGTCGCCGTCTTCATCAAAGTCACCAGGAGCGATGGCTCGTCGTCTTCGTCGATTAACCTGGAGCAGCAAGGGTCGTCGTCTTCGTCGATGTCGCTGGGAGTAGCAGCGTCGTCATCTTCTTCTTCTGCTAACCTGGAGAAGTAGCGGTCGTCGCCTTCGTCGAAGTCGCCTGGAGAAGCAGCTGGATCGTCTTCGTCGCTTAGGCAGAGGGATGGGTTAGTTGGCCGCAGATTGTATAAGTTTGCCCTAGTACTGCAGTGTGGAATTAAATAATTAATCCCACTTTCGGTAAGGGTAAAAAATGAACTGACATAGAAAATCATTTTTTAAAATTATAAAAGAGCCCCCAATTTGAAATTAAGTTTGCGAAAATTATAAAAAAGACCCCATTTCAGTTTATTATGTCGGTTGTATTTCTAACCGTTATAAAAAATATTTTTATATTTATAATACTCACCCACCTAACCTATTCGAATTTTCATTATTTGTAAAGATGACCCCGTGCCTACATATTATAACGGTCTTAAGTGAACCCATATCAAATATCCAGATTTCTATCGCTTCATATTGTGAGAGTGTTGATCCATGATTTTCATTAAGCATGGTCAATGGAAGGGGTTTTGATCCGAGTGCTATAAGAGGGAGTATGAAATATTTGTGTAATCCCACCGTTATTCCTTGCTTATTTGTGAACAAAGAGAAGTCTAAATTATACTCACAATTGCTGAAGATTTCATAGATATCTTTGTCCTTCTCCACCCGTTGTGTTTCCCTTAGAGCCTCAGGAAATGGTGGCATGATCTCAGGAATGGCCGGTGGTTGACTTGAGTTTTGAGGTTCCTCCTCCGGTTGAGCTTTCTCCGTAAGCTCCTCTTCTTCCTCCTCCTCGCCCATGTGGTTCACAATGCTTGGCATTTGTTTCAACTGATTGTCCAAGTTCTGTTCATTGGACACTGCTTCTTGCGAACATTGTGACATATTTTGTTGCATATTTGTCACATTGATAGTGAGAGCTCAGATCATTTCTTCAGTGGACATGCTGGGATAAGAACATGAGTATGGGCTATATGTGTTGGAGAATGAATCATACCTCTCTTGGAAACTAACACCATTCCTTTGCTCAAAGAATTCTTCTCGAAGCTCTGGGCAAAAATCCGTAAGATGCCTTTGTGACATGCAAATGTTGCATGTATGGACATCTTGAGATTTTGAACATGAGCTAAACTCCTTTATTAGAGAAGTCAAGTCGGAAATTTGACTCTCTAGGGATGATGTGTTGGTATCCATTTACTCATGCAAGCTCACAAAATAGAAAAGTAAGATTTTTATTTATATATATATATATATATTTTATTTTTATGAGATAAAATAAAAAGAAAAATAATTGCCTTTCCCCGGCAACGGCGCCAAATTTGACGAGCACTTTGTCACGGTGCATCAGAATAAATACAATACTAGCGCTAATACGTAGTATAGCGTAGTAGAGTTCGTATCAACAGGGAAAGGAATAATTCTCTTTTTATGATACTTAGTAAATAAAAGGGGGGATTTGGATTGAGTGATTTAATTTAATTAAGAACTAAGATGAACAACCTATATGTGTTTAATTCAAAGATAAAAAGGACTTGGCATTGCTACTTTCCACTTGTTGATATATTTTAGTCGATCATTGTTATATCTATAACTTATTCCCTCTCGAATACTCAATCGGGGAGTATATCCACTTCATCGAGGGTAGTTATTAACAACAACCGTTCATTAATAACCCTTACTATTAATCAAATATAGAACAATGCCTTATACCGATTTAATAGTAGCATTCAATCTTTCTAACTTCTTGATGAAATCAATTGAGATTGATAATCTCAACACAACGGTTTCGGTTTAACCAACAAAATTAATCCCTCTTAAGTTTATTAACCACGACCGTGCATTAATAAACCGAAGTTACTTACTTGTGAAACCATCAACGATTAACCATCGGTTCGTTGATCGTTTCTAGTAATAATTAATATTTGAAACAAAACTAGTTGATCCTTTAAGTAATGTTCAAAATATTAATATGAATAATGAATAGGAATTAATTAATATTCAAGGAAGAATATTATTAAAGAAGATGAATCCTGCTATAATTAATATCAAGATGTTAACTAATTGTCATCTTAGCAACACTCCCCAACATTAATATAGAGGAAGAAAATACCATTCTAACTAATGTCGAGATGTTAACTAATTGTCATCTTAGCAACACTCCCCAACATTATTATAGAAATGGTATTAAGGAAAGAACTATTAATTAATATTCAAGGAAAGAAGTTAAGAAAATAACTCACAACTTTAATAATCAACAACCTTCAAGAGCAACACCAAGAATGGAAGTTTAGCTCCTCATTTGGAGACTAAACATGATATAAAAATATAATAAATGCTATTCTAAACTGGGCTTAGGAGTATAGAAGAAGAGATTGTTTTTAGAGAAGAAAAAGTGTGCTATTTATAGGTGTTTTTCAACACCTTTGGCCGGGTACCCGACTGGGTCAAGTACTTACCCGACCGGGTCCGGTCAAAATCAGATAATCCGCCACGTTCTGGTGATCTTCGCACGTCGTTTTGTCCCGGGTCACATCTGACCCGACCAGGTCAAGTAGGAGACCCGACCGGGTCCAGTGACTTTCTTGGCAATTTCGTCTGTTACTTCCTACCCGACCGGGTGGGGGTTTCTACCCGGTCGGGTTTCACTCCTGGGCAGTCAAATTTCTTGTTTTCTTCTCTTCAAAGTCTTCCTTTCCAACACCACAAATCCTAACTAAACTTTACAACTTATAAATAAAGAATAAAATACAATTACAACTGAAATTACATAAATGTTTACAAACTAAATAAAACGTCAAACAATCAACATAAATCAAACATAAAAACATATAATTATGCACTACTAATTAGTGTGCATCAACTACACAAATACAAAGATATTTAATTAGATTGGACACCATAAAATATTCCCAACAATCTCCTCCTTGGTGTTCAATCGTGTTCAATCAGCATTGTAGCGCACATATCTTTGTCTTTGTGTTTATTCCGCAATGTAGAGGAGAGCGTAGATAAAAAAATTTGAGGTTCTTCTCTTTTGTCTTGATCTTCATTGCAACTCAGCTTCCTTTGTCTACGAGTTGAAATCGACTTCTTAAGAAGGCTTTCTGAAGAAATCCTTGCAATCTCCCCTTTGATGTTTTCTTGTCAATTTGATCTTTGATGTCGGGGGTTGAGGAATCTTGAAAATCTTACTTGTAATTATTGCCTTCCAGAAGTTACTCATGACCAGCTTGACTGCAAATCCGAAGGCGCGTCTAGAATGAATGTTCTTGAAGAATTTCGAGGCGCACATGGGATTAATCTTCAGAATTTGATTATCTGACCTTTGTCTCCTCCACAATGTAGTCTTTCTTACTATTTGAAATGAATGCTTTTGAGGAGAACTTGTCGGTGGCACATCGGAAAATGATGGTTGACTTGTAAACGTATCTGACCATTTGATTCGTAGCTGGCTTGGTAGTTTTGATTTGGAGAGATAGTAGAGAAAGTGTTGGAGGAGAGAAGTGTCCGAGAATGATTTGTTGAGAGTTAACAGCATGTGGACCACTCTCCCCCTCATGACGATATGAAGAATCAGGGCGTCATGCCTTTATTCTTCTTTTTAGGGAAACAAAACAGAAAAACAAACGGAAAGTTAAAATGACAAAAACCGGATACATTGAGGTGTTCCGTTAACACGACATCAATGTAAACACTTATGTGTGGTCTGTACAAAATGATAGAAACATTAAAGCTCTAACAGGACTTTCAACCCAAGTTTTATTTTTCATTATTTCGAGTGTTTAAAATTCATTTTTCATAATTGTTTGAGAGATCAGTGAGAGAGGGCACTAACCACATGTTTGGAGAGAAAGAAAATGCAGGTTTCCGACGATCTAGGGATATACCCGATCGGATACCACATAGTACTCGGTCGGGTATGGCTAAAAAAGGGGAACCGAGTCACTACTCGATCGAAGGAGCATAATTTTTTCAAGAATGCATGTATACTCGATCGGGTACAATCACATACCCGGTCGAGTATTCATAGAAAGGCAAAGCCAAAGGAGCCTTCTCCCAGCACTCGATCGAGTACAGGGCTCAATATGTACAAAAAGAATAATACCCGATCGGGTACCACTTCCTACCCGGTCGGGTATAACTGGAAAACCGACACTCAAGGCACACTGCCTCCTATACCCGATCGAGTATAACAGTATACCCGATCAGGTGCAACTGCGTTTTAAACCCAAACGAACCCCACAAACTCCATCTTCCTCAACTCTCAACCCAAATTTTCGAATCCATCTCCCCCAAACTCCATTTTCAAATCTTCTCTCTACCATATCTCCCTCATTTCTCCATCAAATCACTCCATTCCACCACCAAAAGGCGGGCATTAGGGACAATGCCTCAAGCTAAGAAGGGGGAGATCACTCATTGGTATGTAAATTTCTTTTTTCTACCTTGAAACTAGCATGTTTCTCTTTACTTTTAGTATTCTTGAGCACACAAAAAAAGGAATAAATAAAAGAAAAGAAATCCTAGTTAGGTTGAAAATCCCCAAAAATGGGCAATCTAAGCAAAAAAGGCTTATAAAACAAAAATGAGTGAGTTAGGGAGAATGGAAAATGAAAAAAGATGCTAGGAGGAAAACCTGAAAAGGCTCCTAAGAACAATGAGAGATATGAGAGAAATATTTGTTTTTGAAAGCACTCATTTGATCTCTTTGGAGAATGAGAAGACTCAAGAAGAAGAAGAAGAAGAAGAAGAAGAAGAGGTAGAAAGCGGGAGCATAGAAAACCAAAAAACCCAAGAAGAATGTCTTATTTGTAAAAACATTTTGTAATTCCTTGGTGTTTTTTATGTTCTTTCTTACTTAAAACTCTTGGACCATTTGGAAACATTTTACTTTACTCGAGGTCGAGTAAAGAACTATGTGTGGGGGAGTTGATACGTTTGTAATTTCCATATGTATGTGACGTGCACTTGTCGTGAGGTGCACTCAAAATAATTTATCAATGCAACACTAATACGTAGTATAGTGAAGTAAGGTTCGTATCCACAAGGAAAGGAATACTTTTTGTTGGAGATATTTAATTGTGAATCAAGTTTGTCATATATTAGCTTTATATTTAATCCTTGTATTTAATTAGTGCATAAATTAGATAGCAATCGGGCCAAG